GTAAAAAGAATTCAACAAGAAACACCTACCACTGACGGCAGTGTGCAAAATCACGAGGATGTAGAGGACACCTAAAGGTGGCGGAAAGCAGTTGCATTTGATCGGTTTCGGGTGTGAGGTGCATATGTCCTTCACGGCGAGGGGCACGAATGCCAAGGACAAACTACTGACCAACAGGGTGAAGACGTTCAAGGTCATTGGATCGGCGAGGCGAAAACACCCCTTTCGGCTCTTAACAGATGACCCATTGATATTCTTCTCCAAGTATACGGCTAAAAGGAGAAAGCCACAATGAAAAAAAAACGAAGAGGCACAGGAGAAGACAGCAATCTCCACAAGGGAGACGAACAGGGTGGCTACGATGGAGTGCAGGCAGATAATTGGGCGTGGGTATTTGAAGAACAGTTTACAGGCGAAACAGAAAACGGAGACCGCTCATGTTGGTTGTGGCAGGCTCTTTTCTTCGACGTAACTCACGTCAAACCCTGTGTAATTTTAATGAAATAAAAAACTCCCTAATAAGGCGCCGTTCGCATGAGGAAAAATTCAACCTCAGGTACCAAACGTACGTGCTTGTGTGGTAATTCGAACAACAACTGTGGTATGGGATACTGAAAATGATTTAGCTGGTCGAATTCTCCCTATCAGAAAACCTAAATGCGATCATGAAGTCGGAGATGATAGTATCTCCGAGTCAACGCCTGCCAAAAACTCTTAATGCACAGGAACACTCCTAGGAGGTGGGGGTATTTGTAAAAGTAAATATTAACATACGATATGCCTAAAAAGCAGATAAGTTCCACGAAATGAGAGCGTTTGATGGGATTTTCGCGTTTAAAAATTACCGAATTGGACAACATACTATCGGAGAAATTGAAAAAATGCCTTAAGGTGGACGAATTCGAAACAAAAGTAGACTGTTCGTCCTTTTTAAGAAAGCGGGCACGACGTTTTAACTACGGAGTTGGCGACAGGACATTTAAAGTGATGATACGGCAACGAAAGGAGAACAAGCGGCCTTAAGGATGCTAAATACAGAGTATGCATCAGTGGGATAGAGAGTGCTAAGGACGAAATTTTTGAAGTTTCAGATCCCAGTGCAGTCTGGAGGAAACATATGGGCGTCTATTTCCAAATCCAGTAACGTGGTAAAAGTCTAGGGAGAGTGCTCTAATCTCCGGCACGCTATAAATACTGACGCTTGTGAGGCACAACTTTATTATACGATACAGTGCACCTGTGACCACTGGGAGATTGTCTACGAACGAAGTCCACCTTTTACCACCCTGTGTTACCATCATAACCCATCACAGAGCCCACAGAACGGCACCCGACCAAAAGCAGAAACACTGGCTGGTCTACCCGTGGCACGGTGGATGGAACTTCCGGTGCAACAGCCACCCCCGACTAATACTGCTTCGCCATTCGTTGAAAGTTCGCTTAGAATGCAAGCACTAAAGGTGATGAGTGTCATCCGAAAACGTACACCGAAACAACAGCCTATGTGATGCCCGTCAGGACGGGATCAGGAAGCACCCGTAATAGAGGTTGTTTTGGGCTACATTTCGGCGAAAGTAAGGTTATTGTTAAGGTAAGGAGCGGGGGACACTCATCGTTCCCATTGACACCATTCCCGTTTGGCGCGATCCTGGAGTTAGTGATGACTAATTGAAAGTCCCCGAAATTATATCGGTCGCAAATGAAGGAAGTAAAAGTCTTAGTTTACTTCTACAGAACCTGAAGGCAGCATTGATTATGGCCTGGACACTATCCCCTTGGTTGCATCAAAGAAGTGGATTTACTGCTGCCTTTTCATTTTCTTAAAAGAATTATCGTTAAATTTGGGTAAGTCAATCCAAACAAAGGTTTATATGCGCAGACTGAAAGTTGGGTCGAAGTCCACCAACCACAGCGGGATTTAGAGGTAGTTGGTTTGATGATTAGCGCACCCCAGTCAATACAATAACCGGTGCCCAAAACCTGTTTTTCTGAGGAAGGAACAGTCATAGCGTGATGGCCTTGTGGCCTTCGGAAACCTCTGCGCACGGCCCGGGAATGAACTATGCCTTATTTCACCGGTATTGTACTAGCCAATGAGCGTGCACCATAACGGTAACTGACTGGCGACTTGCCCACATATTTTTTTCGTGTTTAATTTGATTATTCGTCGTTTATTTATTATATTATTTAAAAATCCGGTTAAAATTTGGCGTTTAGGAGGTCGTCTACTTCAACTTACCTGAGGTCCAACTTACCGTG